ACTAATGAACCTTCAATTGGATTAATTACTAACAAATTTGGTTAATGTTTGAAGATAACTTTTTGACAAATTTGTTTGGTTATTAATTAATGAGGCAGCTGACTTAATAAATCACCTGTCCCTCTTCCTTTTCCCACACAAAACACAAACAATCGTGAGCATGTGCAAATAAATAACTAATTGTTTCCGCTTATCAAATTGGATTGCGAAATACTCCTCCTCCGTAACGAGTATTTTGCAATGACTAAGACCATTCTAGTTCACAGCAATAAATCTATAAACCTATTAATGAATGAAATGCCTGCCTGACTGCCCACGTTGCTGAAACAAAGCGCAAATATTTGCATATTTCAAAATAATATTTACGAGCGCGACTCCAATCAATTAACGTATTAACATGCTTTTATTATGTATCACATTCAAATTGGCCTAAAACGTCAGGTAGCCAAAGTGAGAAACTCGTTCTCGGCGCCATTACCAAAAAAGCGAAAACCAAACAACGTGGGCGATCGATCCCAAAGTGTGTGAGCAATGAGATTTGCGGATCGCTGATCGTTAATCGTTAAGTATTATAACTTAATTAGCTGCATAACGATTTGCTGAGATGCTTGAAAGGAAATCAAATATTTCGTTGGCTCATTGTTAAGTGTGTTTACGGTAAATATTTAGCTGTATATTTTTGGCCGATTACATAACATTGTTTTGTTTGCAATTTTTTCTCTTCCAAAGAGTGCAAAAATAATTTAGCTAAGCTTTTGTTATTGAAATATTGCGTTTTTTCTTCACCGCTGCCTGATTAGTGCGTTAGGCACTTTTACTTTTTCTTATCGAACTCCAAAGACAATGCCTCTTGTTATGTAAATTTGGATTTCAATTTCTCAGTTTTATTAGGCCTCCGGCTGGAACTTTATTTTTAACTTAACTTAATTTATTTTACAGAGAAATTAATTGGGCCGCATTAGGACTACGTCTGTAAGAAATTGAGGGAATATCCGTTGGACATGTTCGCTTTTGTGTTAACATTTGCATGCACATCAAAAGTAACTGTAGACCGAATGTTTGCCTGGCCAGCAAAAAGTAACAAACAACCAGCAGACAGGCAACAACAACAACAACAACAACAAAAACAGCAGCAGCAGCCGCTACAAAAGATCAAAATCATTTGAAAAATTGTTTGGCGAAATGGTAAGACCAAATCGAAGATGGAAAAATGTGTGCAGCATGGAGTTTTTTTCTATCGAAAGGAGGGAAAACCGAGTGGCCAGCGGAAGAAACAAACTAACCACTCCCGGACCAATGCAGATGTTGCAGCAAATGCTGCTGCTGCTGCTGTTGCTGTTGCAGTTTCTAAATGCCGCCGCGCACCAATTCACCGACAGTCAGGCAAACGTTGCAACGAGAATGCAAACTTTGCATAATTTATGGCAATCAATTTCGCGTGAACATCAACACGGTGGTTGCAATGCAAAAAGCTACATAGCCGGGCCAAAACCAAAGCAGAGATGGCTTAAAAAAGAAATTGCGGCAACGGACTTTGGAAAAAGCAAGCACCATCCGTCTATCGAATGCCAGTATCAACTTATTTAGTTCTACTTAAATGTTTACTTTCATCAATTCGCAACGTTCGCTGCCAGCGGCACCAGTGCAATGTCAATTGGCCGCGGATTGGATTGTCTGATGTCTGGATGTTGCTTTTTGGTCACAAAACTGTAGCTGGTCAAGAAAGCTCTCGATAGTTGCCTCAACAGGATGCCCGCCATCGTGGATACATTCACTTTACCAAGACCGCTTTTGGACAAAAAAAAATACAAAAAAAAATACAAAAAAAATTAAATAAAAGCATGCAAAAGTAACTAAACTCTGAGGAGTACGATTTCGCCTGGCCCTAATCTAATTGCCATCGCCTAACCCAATTTCCCAGTTCTCCAATTGCAATTTAGAACTTTCACTGGCAGCCTTGGCAGAAAACCATTCAAACCAACCCATCCACCCACCCACCAAACAATTGTCTTGCACTTTCGTGAGGATGGTGGTTTTGAGGTCTCCTTGGCTCAAAATACATATCATTTTACATAATAAATTTAATGCCGAGGAGTGCAACAAATTACATACGATCCGATCCGATCCGATCCCCTTTGTCTTCGCTGACAGCTGGCAATTTGCTCTGAGGAGCCGCAAAGGCAGGTGCCTGGTGCATTGTGTCTACTGTAGTTAGTAGTAGTTATCAAATAAATACTAAGCACTCGACTCGACTCGGCTCTACTCTACTCTACTCCCATTCTGCTTGAGTGCCGGCTACACTAGCACGGCGTTATGCATTCACCGTTGCTTTTGGCCCCACTTACTAGCAACACTTACTTACTCAAAAAAAAAAAAAAAAAAACTGAAAAAGAGAAACAAAACTTAAATGAAAAACCAAGTTTTTCCTGATTTATGTCCAAACAAATTGTGTGTTGGCTTGGCGGTTTCCTTATACGACATGATTTAAGTGAATTATGTTGTGATTTTGATATACATTCTTAGCACTTGAGCCGTGACCGAAATGCAAACGGTTCCTGGCTGATTAAGATCAGGGATTACTCTCGTAATATTCAACTCAGGGGTTAATTCTTGATTGGTTATTAATTTCTCCATTTAATACGCTTTCCCGGCTGATTAACCCCATCTGTGAGAGGTTAAAAATCCGCCAACTTCTCTATACATGTTGCAGCTGAACCACATCATTTACAGTTGGCATCCGTTGCACACAACAGATGGAAAAATAGATGGATGGAAATTGTGAAAGAGTTTTTAATCAAAGTGGGAACGCTCCGTTTGATATCTTTCTCGCGGCTGCCTTGACACGCAATTGAAGTGAGCAGCAGCAGCATCCAGTTCGACCCAGGGCCAAAAATAAATCTTGAAGAGATTCTTCATTTCGAAATATCTTTCGATGAGGGGAGAAAATTGGGACCAAAAGCGTGGCAGACAAAGATGAAAATCCATGCGTGCACTTGACGCCGCTGAACCCACAAATTGGTGGTGTCATTAGGCAGATATTGATTTGAATTTATTGGCAATTCAATTAACTCTAACCGAATAATCGGGGGCTGGGGCTGGGCTTTCAATTATTTCGATCGAATAGGAAAGGGGTGAAGCCGCAGCCATTAATTGTCTGGCAGCTGGTGCATTACAATGCGGAAATGCAATCGAATGGATCCGAATGGAATCGAATCGAACGCACTTCACACGCAAATAAACAGGCCGTTGTTGGCTGGTCTGGAGTTTATCTTCTGGATGCACGGCAGCAATTTATTCTTCAACGAGGGGCAAAGAAAGTGAATAGTGAATAGGGAATATCCAAGGAGTACTGGGAATGGCGAGCAGTTATGCAAATCAGCAGGTAGTCTCTACCCGGAAAGGTGGAAAAAAGAAAACAGAACTACAGGTCGGTCATTCACCGGCACCGCGTATCCATGAGATACGCGCAACTCGCATGCAATTTGCGGCATTAGAATATGCGCACATGAATAGATAGAAAAAAAAAGTAAAGGATCCTTGTTGTTGTGCTGCTCCAATGAATGGAAGAGATTTCCATTTAGCCGCAGCACTTGGTGCACTTTCATTAGACAACTGAAATATAATTGCAATGTAAGGGTAGTGACTGTCTTTGTTTGGCGATTTGAAAGCTGGGAAAAATAATGGCAACAAATAACCGAATAATGCCCGTGAAATACAATAAACACACGAGCAAAGAAATGTGTAAATATCACTCTTTAAAAATAAAAAACGAAAATGAAAGTGAAACCGTTTTCATTCATCCATTCAGAGAGATATATCTGAAAAATAGATGAGAAAGTTCAATACAACTCGAGAAAGAGTTGTCAATTCATTGAGAAAAGTTCGGTCTCACATTGATTTCAATTTCCATTTTCATTTTCATTTCCCTTTGCATTATCCCATCTAGATGGCCATGTACTTTCCTGCCCAATGTCACCGTTGATTGCATAATCATTTGACCGTCACTAATTCCTACGTAATTGGAAAGCCATAATGTCAAAGTCTTTTTGTGCCTCCTCCATCTCTGCTATATGCATTGCCTGCCATGTGCACCACATCTGTTGCAACTTATTAGTTTACGTTTGGGGCCAACAACCGTTCCGAGCTATAAGTGAAAAGCCCAAAAAACACCCCTCGCATAAAGCAGCTTACACTCCTATCGCTTAAGTGTTGGGCCGAAACTAAAACTAAACGCTATTAATTTTTACACACGGTTTCACTGCAGTTCGAATGCGTTTTTCATGAGCCGAGAGCTTGGGGCTTTTTCGGAATTTTATAGCCCCCAGCTAGCTAGCTAAGCTGCAGTGGCAATGGGTTTTGGATTTTTAAGTCAGGTCTGGTCTGGTGTGGTCTCGTCTGGGCCATTGTTTTGCAATTTTGTTTCATTTTAGCCCAGAGTATGGGGGGATGCGGCGGCATGATGATGATAATGAATGATGAGCAGCCGAACAACAACAGCCACAATACCTATTGAGTAATTACAAAAATTTTAAAGTTTAATTAAAATTGTGTAAATAATCGTATTTGTTTGGCTTTGTTACCGTTCGTTGGCGGGTGTTACTGTTGCGAAAATGAAAGTGCCATCAAATTATGATGCTCAATTGTGGGAACAACAGCTGTCTTTTGACAAGCTCAACGCCTGACACTCGATGGATTTCAATAGCTCGTCATGACGAGGCGAAGTATTTGGATGAATCTTACAATTGCATGGAGTCAAAAATATCAAGCAGATTGATCACTTATTTTCATTTTCAATGCCAAAGTACGACATACTAATTTGTACTGAGATTCTCTTTTAAAAAGATATCTTTCTTGTAAGAATCATCAACTCTCCTCTGCTGATAATCAATAACTGAAACCTCTTCCAGCCATCAGTGACTCACTCTCCCTTTAGAACTTAAATCACAAATCATTTGTAAAAACCTAACTACTTATTCCATATAGTTTGAACTATCACTTACCTTGTAAACCTCCGAGAAGAATCCCGATCCAATTTTCTCCTTGACGAAGTCATCCACGGAGTATAATGCTGAGACGGCGGTACGGAGCGCCCGACACGAACTCCCGGTGACAAGGCGATCCGATGATATAGTCCGTGTCACGGGCGCCGGCGGCAGACCGTTCCCGATCCATCCGCCATTGTGAAGCGGTTGATGTTTCATTGTAGCTTCACTGGTGGCATCTCCATTGCTTATGTTACCTTTGTATGCTGCACTTGCAGGTGGTGGTGCTAATAAAGATGATGATGTTGTATTGGTACTGCACATACCCGCTGTGCTGGGCCAGACAAAGGAGAAGGCGGTGGTCATGGTGGCGTCCACCTGGTCCACCGATAATCCGCAGATCTCCGACGGCGGACCGGGACCACTGTGCTGATTCAGGCTCATGTTTATCAGCTACGACGTATGTTGCTGTCGTATCCGGATGTGTATGTAAAGTTGTTGGTTTGTATCTGGCGTTGGGCGACCTTGCCTGCTTGTGGGTGGGTATATGGGGATCTCTGTGGGATCTCGAGTTTGGATTTGTATTGTGTGTCTGATGCTGGAGCAGTGGGGCCTAGTCCATGATAACACAATGATTGGCGGGTTAACGCGACGGCTAGATAGACGGGCACGACGGATGCTATTTTTAGTGTTTGTTTATGTTTATGGAACGTAGCACGAAACATTTATTGGACCCATAGGTCCGAGTTTGACAACTTTTCAAATTTTGAAACAACAAAAAAATAAATTCGGAGTACTAACTATCAATCACCGTTGCGTTTACTTCGTAATAAAAACTTGTGTACTTAGTTGCTTGTTTATTTATTATCAGAACTTGGAATGTATTGGATTGTTCTTCGATTCTTGGCACGTTGCAGTTGTAGTGGAAGCTGCACTGGAAGCGCTAGCAGTTGGAAGTCTGGAAAGAAACGCAAACAAAAGTTACAGGTTAATAAAAAATTCATTCAATCTTGTCTTGCTCTAATGAAATGTAAATAAATACGTTTATAGATATATATATTTGTTTGAGAAACCAACGAAGCAGGCCGCGTGATCAACATTGCTTGTTTATTCTTTTTTTATGGGGTGCAAATTTAAATACTTCAAAGAATTCGCCTTATTTTCCGTTGTCACGCGCTGCCGAAAGTAATATCCAAGTAATATCCAAGTCATAAATTCTAGAAAACAGGAACTAGGGATATTTACAAAGTATAAGGGGGCTAAAATCAAGACAGGGCAATTAATAAAACTTAAGCAGGCTAGAAAGCTAATTAAAGCAAAACGTTTAGTGACTTTGATTTGTGAATTTCAAAAGATTAAGACAAGATTTGTATTCCCAAGAAGCTGATAAGATGTTTATTTCAAGAAAATATTCAACTTTTCATCAGATTAGAGTACCAAGAAATCGGTGCTCTATTTAATACGGATTTAGTTTATTATTCCAGTTTTTGGTAGACATTTCGGATTAGCACAATGCGAAAAAAATCATCACTAGCTAATAAGAATTAATTAATTGAGCCTGCTCGTCGATTTGCTAATAAATATTCAGGGTCAAAGTCGACTACATTGGCAAAGTTTTGCTTATCATCAGGGCGCTCTTGCTACTAAATATATGTACAGGTTTTGTTGCCACTTGATAACGACGACTTTTCAAGTGCGATAAAACACACACGAATAATCATTTTCCTTTCTTTTTTTTTCTTCAATTTTTGTGGCGAACAAACAATGTAATTTAGCAGCAATTTGGTTATCATTTTGCCGACTTTTGTCGTCGTTTGTTTTTCGTTGTCTCAGGGCAAATGAGTTCAGTTCCATCAGTAAATAATTGAGATAAAAACGATCACTCGAAACCTTGGCCTCGAGCTTGAAAACGAATTAGCGTTGAGTAACTGGAAGGAGTTGATATCCCACGAGGCAAGGGTTCCACAATCAAAAAAAAACAGCGCCACCCACTGCGAACCACTTGGTTCCACTCCACAGATAAGTTTGGAAATGATATAACCAAATATTTTGCTGCTATAATACCGGTGAACAGCGGCAACAAGTTGGAATTTTTTGATTTGCCATTCCTTATCATGCCAACCATATATTATCGCCGATAAGATACAGGGAGAAATAGCTTTTGGCCAAAAAAGAAAACAACAATATAAAGAAATTAAATCAGCCAACGAAAATTGCTGGCTCGTAAAGGATCATGCGAGTGGCCAAAAGGCGATCATGTCAGATAACAGAAAAGAGCCAGCCAGCTCACAATTAAAACTATAACAAAATAATTACACCAAATTTCGACATAATGATAATGATATAGAGGCGAACGAACGAATACACCACAGCTCTCACTTTTCCGCTGGCTCAAAGTCAAAATAAAACACAAATTACAAAGCACATTTTTGCACTGGGCAAACAACGGCCAAACGGGGAAGTTATGCGAATTGAGATTTGCTATTCGGTATGTGTTTCTTTCTTTCCTTCTTTTGCGAAATCTGTCCAAACAGCCAGCCAGTCGAAGTTTAAGCCGGCAGCAGGCCATAATTAGGGTCAATTGCGGCTAACCGCTGCCAATCGACGACGACAACGACAACGAAAGCTTTTGGCCAAATGAAAAGGCGGCTGTGGGGAAAAAGTGCTACACTTCATTAGGCGCCATGACAAACGAAGAGTTGCAGCGAAAAGTGGGGTCGATGTTGCTTCGATTTAATAGCAGCCTGCCCCACGATTACCTAAGGATCGGTTTCAACCACGCCCTCAACGACAGTTGTCCAATTACAGGCAGGTCTTTGTCAAATTATCTCGTTTTGAGCCATGAAATGAATACGTTTTATCTTCACAGCCAGTTGTGAAAGTTCCCATAAAACCTAATGAGTTGCAAACTTAAATATTTTTGTTTTACAAAAAAATAGTAAACATTAAGCTTGGTGAAGAGTTCACTGAGCTTGAGAGCATAAACTATCGATGGAGAGCCACAAATCCAATCCGTGGCACACAAAAATAAGTTTAGCACGCTTCGAAAAACTAAGTCAAGGCCCCAAGCAACGATAAAAAAAGGGGATACCTCCAATGGTTTGGGTGAGCAAATCTATCGCGTCGAGAAAAACACTTAAGCTGCCGCTTTATATACAACTACATCAACTCTTTCACAAAAAAAATGCATAAATTTTCACATCACGTTCCAAACTATTTATCTCGTGTGGAAAACCACAGGCAAAACATCAAAACATTTATGTTTTAATAGGAATGCCAGCCAAACAAAGGTCAGTCCGCATCCGCAGTTGTTGCCAAACATATGGAAAATAGATGATGAGCCCCACAACGGAATGCTGCAATCTGAAAAGTCAGCAGTTCCACGAAGCTTAAATGCCCTAAAAACAGGTAGCAGCTGAATTTAATTAACTAAATCTGAGAAGAAGGGGGTCCCATCCAATAAATATAGAAACTACAACTTAGGTTGTTGCAAGACCTTAACAAATAAAAAGTAATGACCACTAGAATATATTTATAAAAAAAAAAAAACAAGAAATAGAGAGTGAAACTTAACTAGAACAACTTTTCCCAAAATATTTTACACTATTAATCATCTGAAATGAAGTTGATTTTTTAAAAATATTTCTAAGCTTCTTGCAAAATTATTTGCCAGAGAGAAAACCAATGGAATTAATTTCAGCATGCCACTTATCTCCATTAGATTTTGATGGCGTTTTGAGGCATTCTCCAAATCGAATGTTTAACCGTTAACCGCCACAAGGTTCGAGTCAATAAACCGCTGCGGACTGCGGTGACTTTGTTGCTGAGAGTCGTGTGAGATCAAGTTGCAGTTTTATGGGGCCAAGGGTCGTCATGTAGCCACCACCACCATCGTCTTCACCATCATCATCATCACCGCCATGAAATCTTCGCCTACGTAGGCGCGTGCCTGGAGAATGGTGTGCAACGCACACACTCAGTTCTCCAGCTGAGCCATTAAAGAGGCATAAATCTTTGTTATGAAATTGGAAATGATTTGCTCTGCAGACACTTTTAAGTAGAGAATCATATAATGCTCCCAAGAACTGATGCGTTCAGGAAGTATAGCCCCGAAAAAACGTTAATGAAAAGGAAAGTTGGTCAGCGGCACAAACACAACAAAAAATATGCCACTTCATGCCCACAGCCGCAGTGTAGAAAGAAAAACAAAGACGAGAAGACGGCGAAAAGAAGCCAAGGCAGCCCAAAGAAGAAGAAATTTCTATAAACAAAGAGATGAGCCGCAGAGCCAGAGCAAAATTATCAAAGAACAACAAAAACTGATGACGAAAAAAAAAACGAAGTGGAAAATGGGACATGGCACACTCTTGGGCCCACAGAAATCAACAAAGACTGAATGAAATTCATGTCGTTGTCGCGCTCATAAATTCTTCTACGCCTATATATCGCTGGCTATCTGAAAGATACACCCACACACGCACACACACTCGGAAAAACTAGCAACTCATTCAACCGGGGAGGTGCTGCCTGCATCCGCTGTATACCTCTATACCTATTTACTCAAAAAAGAATCTATGTAAATTTGGTATATTTTGAATAAATTCCAAGCCCATCGAAGGTGTGAGGCTTTATGGTATAGTTCTTTTTTCTTCTTTTAGACCCTAAAACAAGTGATTCAGGCAACGAAATGGAAAGCGGGGAGAAATATACAACAAAAAATCTAATATATATATTCGAAGGCAATGGAATGTTCGACTGAAAGCATAAGATAAGCTTAATTAGTCAGCATAAACAAAAATTTCACTTTCTTTCGGTACAGAACCGTCATTTTCTAAACTATTTTTCTGAACGCCCAACGATTACTGCGCCATTTAGGCATTTCAACTAATTGGCAGACATTTCGTTTTTTCTCGGGGGGTGGGCCGACGCCAATCACGTGCCGCCCATCGATCGGCAGAAAAACTGGCCACTATTAAAAATAAAATGAACTTTAAGATCGCACAAGCCCAAGTAGAACGACAATTAAAAAAATACTAAAAGAAATGTGTTTATTTTCAGCCTCAAGTGCAAGTCCTATTAGAAGATCGAACAAAACAAAACACTTGATGAATGCAGCTGAAGAAGGTGCAAAAACTGAGCAACAAAAACCACACAAGGGTGCGTAGAATGGGCACAAATGGTTTTATTTTACTTATTTTATTTTTCCCCTCTCCGATGCGGGCTTACACAAATAAAAACAAATTAGCTAGGGCAGCATTAACGGCAGCCGGCTGCCGCGGGCGGAAGTACGGGGGAGTTTATTGTTAATTTCATAAACACCACGAAACACCATGAAACAGAAAACTGCAGCAGCAGCAACAATCAACCACCAAACCGGCAAAAATCCCAATAGGGCAGCTGCATTTCGGTGGGAAAGCCAAGTGGAATGTATGCCTTCGTATTGGAAGCTATAGCTTCTCGATCCTTAATAATAGCGAGCGAGCGAGACCAAACATCTGTCGCAGTTTTACGTGGAAAACTGTCTTTCCGCTGAATCGTTGGAAAATAAAGGGAGAAACTGAAAAAAGAGCGAGAGTTGGGAAAAACACAAACATCGGAAGCATCTTCATCATAACTTGCAAATGTGTTTGTGTTATTTTTACATTTCCGCTGCTTACGAAAATATTTACGCTCCCCTTAGCTCCAGACCTTCCCCATTTCGAATTTCAAATTACAAATTCCAGACGCTCGCACACACGCACGTGTTAGAGATGAGACTGATTTTGAAGTGCATCGAATGGTGACAACAGGTTCGATTTAAATAAATATGTTAATTTTTGAAGATGCATGAGTGCCTTAAGGGTGTACTTGCAGCAGTTGCTGAGGTCAGGAAAAACGGGAAGCAAAATGTACTTTTAACATTAGATCGTATGCTATTAAAAACAGATGTGGATGGGCACTTTAAGATTCAAGAAACAAAACTAGAACAACAGGAAGATATGGGGATTTCATTTGAGATATTAAAAGAAATAAATCATTAAATTAAGAAAAATTTTTTCTAAGTCAAGGTCATTTTAAATAAATAATTATTAATTACATACAAACTGAAAATCTGAATTTGAATGGAAGAAAAATTAAGTTTAATTAATTAAACTTCAAATTTAAATAACATCCAAGAGTTGGTAAACTAACGCGTTTTTCCTTTAAATACTTTTTTTAATGACAACCTAACTCCTGCCTACAACCTGGATTTTAGAAGAAAACCTTTGGTAAATTTACCGATCATAAATATCATAAAACAATCTTTAGATGCATCAAACTAATACTTTTAAGTTGCAACCTTAATTTCAAGTTACAGCGAATGCAGCTGTTGGGAACTTTCGGCTGACACTGTGCGAAAGCTAAGGTCAGGTCCCCATCTCTATGCTGCTTCCGCACACGCATACACCGATACGGAAATGCCAGCGATAACAGTTTTTGTGACATAGCCTTAAGCCACTAATTCTGGGTTTTAACCGATTCCTGCTAATACTATTTATTTACCCGTTTGGTTTTGACGACTGCTTTTTCCTCTCTCTTTTCCTGTTCTTATTGCCGTGTGGCCATAATCCAATTATGTATGTGTGTGTATGTGTCTGCTCTCTATTGCAATTGCAGTTATTCGCATTCGCGGTGGTATGCAACCCACACAATTACACTCGCGCACTCACACGCACTTGCAGACATTCAAATGCGTACACCGAAAATCCTAAGCGTCAACAAAATAAATATAGCTCTGGTGTTTTAAAATAGGTTTTCACTCAATTCTGCCTTTGCTGTCTCGTCTTGTTTATGTGCATTCGTTGGTTGTGTGTACTTGTTTTTTTGTTAGACGCGACTGTCCATTCAACATTTCTTCGCCGACGCAGGGCGACACTTTTATTTTGCTAGCGGATTTAGCACTTGCACTATTTGGCTTCGATATAACCGATTATCTAGTCTGGAATGGAGCAGAAGACATGTTGGTTTTATTTATGTCTGCACTCGCGAAAAAGCGTCCACAAATTAACAGTTTTTTTCGGGAGCGACGCGCAGCCAACGTCCGATTTTGTTATCCGTCTCGTTTAGAGTGACCGTTCATAAACGGGTGGGAAAAGTATTTCTGTGATAAGATACTAATAAATACCACCGCTGCTATTTAGCAGGGACTCAATTATTGGTTTAAGACCAAGATAGCTGCTTTCGATAGCAAGTTCTATCGATATTTAAGCCAAATATCTTAATTTTAATTTAAACAAATTATATAATAAGCTTTTATGTTATATTTAACAATTTAACAGGTCTACTTTTTCTTGATGTACTTCATGTACTTCTTGGCATTAAAGTTGTCTTCTACTTCCTCCATGATCTTGACCTTCTTGCGCGGCTTGCGGGCTTCCAGACGGGATCTGCGCTCGGCATCAGTCAAAGTGCTTAAATCCAGAGGAAGCTGATGGGTAATATATGTTAGTTAAACTTTATTTCGCCCTTAACACACCGATTTTACCTTGATAATCTTTCTTGGTTCGTGATAGCGTATGTTTATCGTGGAACCATCGGGTTGAACAACTACCGTGGGATATAACCGGCAATAGACAGAGCGATGTAGTCTGGTTACTGCCGTGTGGCGGAGGAAATGCAGCGAAACTGCTGCACAACTTGTGGCAACTGTTTCAGCAGCATTTTAATTAACAACCACAATATTTACAGAGGTTTAACTAAATAGAAGTAACAACACGAGCTGTGTTTTTGCCAAGACAGCTGATAGTGTGACCAAAAGATGGGGGAGATTTAAATACTTTCAAAAAATGTTATCGAATGTGTTTGCAGCCCTAGATAAATTTTCGATATTACCTGGTATTTCGATCACCTGTGGTCACATTCGTACTCAAAGTGTAAGTGTTGGTGCTGGGGGTATAAAATCTTATTTTCTCCTAAATATAAAAGTACGTTGCTTAAAAAGCTTAAAAAAAGAATTTAAACGCGGACTAGAATGCCAATAAAGTGACAAATCTAAGGACCCTTAAGAGTGATTAAAAAAAAGGGAATTTGCGTAGAAGAATTTAATGGAATTACTGCGGTTAAAAAAATTACATAATTTTTGCAGGCATAACTTCCCCGTGTTTAATGGCTAGGGAATATACTTAAGAACCATTGATTATCACTAAGTTAACTAAGCATATTATCTAGACAGAGTAGAAGCAAGTCCTAGAAAAACATTTAAATTATTTCCCGTACAACCTAACCTCATCAGCTTTTGTTGTTGTCTTTCAGTATTTGTGAAGAATGGCTGCCCGCCGCATCGCCCAATCCTCGATTAACTGGTCCGCTCTTGCTGAGCGTGTACCTGCCAATCAGAAGAGCAGCTTCGGCGCCTTCAAGACCAAGTCGGACATTTATGTGCGCGCCGTCTTGGCCAACCCTGAGTGCCCACCCCAGATCGACTGGGCCAACTACAAGAAGCTTATTCCTGTGGCTGGACTCGTCGACACCTTCCAGAAGCAGTATGAAGCCCTGAAGGTGCCCTATCCCCAGGACAAGGTTTCTCCCCAGGTGGATGCCGAGATCAAGGCTTCCCAGAGCGAAATCGATTCATACAAGAAGGCCTCTGAGCAGCGCATCCAGAACTACCAGAAGGAGATTGCCCATCTCAAGTCGCTGCTGCCCTACGACCAGATGACCATGGAGGACTACCGCGACGCATTCCCCGACAGCGCTCTCGACCCCATCAACAAGCCCACCTTCTGGCCCCACACTCCCGAGGAGCAGGTCGGCTACAAATCCTAAGGAGCAGCTGGAGGCTGAGGCCCAGGGTCACCATTAAACCGAATAGGAAATGGAGAACTCTGACTTCGTTGGTCGTCGTCTGTTAATTCGAAATGTAAACCGCTTTGAAGTAAATTACCCAAATTAAATGAAGGTTGTTTACTTAAACATTTTTTGTTCACGGATATAGGTGGTTTCTTTTTCTGAAAGTTTGATTTTGAACCAATAATCACAGCCCGATCTTGGTTTGGTTTTTTTAAGGAATTGGAAATTATAACTTCAATTCGAAATATAACGAAAACTGGTTTTATTTTCAGCAGTAATTTAATTTTGCAAAATTTATTCAATATTGCCACCCTGGTGCATTTTGTTTATTGAACATCAACATTGGTTCATGTATGAACTTTCAGTATTTTTATCAAAGACTTTAAAGTAAACTAAATCGCATTAGTATATTTTTCAATTTTAAGACGGTCATTTTTGAAAGTAGCGAAACAGTCCCACTATTCTTCTACTTCTGAGAGAATTCAAGCAGTGCTCTCTCCGGGCTCACAAAAATCCGTTAAAAGCTTCGAAGTTTCGAAGCCACCGCTCAAATCTAGTTTCTCTCTTTTCCCCGCTCACCTGAGCGCACCTTTCGCCAAAGGCAAAGCACAAGCCGCTGCGCGTCTTAACTTGTCTTCGAGGTGCACACATTCGTGATCTGGGTCCGCAAATGCCGCACGATCAGTCGCGAGCGAATCGAGTTGGAGTGCAAACGTCTCAAGCGGAATCTCAAGTTGTAGCGCTAAACGCAGCGATCGGAGTGTATATATCTGTGTATCGCTGAAATACAAAGTTGAACCAAGTTGGAATTTGCCACCAGTCGAAATAAATCTCGTATCGAATTAATACTCGCAATTTGCATAAAGCGCAACTAAAGACGCGCTCTTTCAGTTAACCCACTTTCTAAACGACCAAACCAAAACCAAAAAAAAATAATAAAAAAGAATAATACTGCGACCGATATTCAGCAACAACGAAGCCAATTAACGAGCAAATAGTGCCAAGCAAATAACTTCGAGTAACGTGCAAGTGATTCATGTTTTTTTCCTTCCAAGTGAAGTGCTTAGGTAAATCGAAGCATAGCTAAACAAAAAAAAACGCTTACTGGAAAACGCACTGGAAGCGATAACGATACCTGGAACGCCCCCAACCAGCCAACCAACAACGACTGTCAGTCAGTTGAAACCGCAACTGCAACAGCAGCAGCATCATCATCGACGTAGCCAGGAACAACAACAGCATAAAGTACGGATTGCAAACAGCCCGGGTAAGTTACACCATCGTACATCATCGCACAACAACAACAATAACTGCTACAATGGGGGGTTCATAGCTCGCAGGGAGCCTTTTGCTTTTACCTTAGCTTTTTGCATTCCCATTCCCTTTTTCCTCGGTCTACAAACGGGTTAACAAGATGTGGCTAATACAACGATCAATAGGCCTGCAAAAATGCAGCACAAGCCTTCGCTAGTTAGAATGCATTTCTTGGGCTTTCCGACTAAGTCATACCGATTAAAAAATACTTGTGTTTCTTGGTATTGAACAAAAGGTTTACAACTTCCAAGCATGAATGATCGTGTTAATAGAACGTAAATATACTCGAAGACAAACGAGGCTAAAGAAATCGTTCAAAGGAAAACATTTTTAAAAGAAAAACAATAATAAATAGATTCCTTGAGTCGAACTTCGATTAATTTTTGTTAATAAAATAGGTAATCTCAACGAATTACTTTAACGTTTTCAAAATACTTTACTTTACAACCATTAATATACATTAAGTATATAAAATCTAAACATATAAGATCTATAAAACAAAAGTTAATCCGCTTAGAAAAGAAAAATTGAACATTTCTAAGTTGAATATCCGATCAGTATAACTTTAGCTGATTCCTTTCAATATAGTTATCAAGAGGCAAAAATCTTAATCCTAATGATATTTTTCCAATTCAGTGATCTATCTTTAATACCTCCAAATATACGATATACCCTTGAAAAGTCCGTGTACACCGAACCGTAATCGATTCTTGCGACTTCTACCGTTTGGGGCATGCATTCCATATTTCATAATCCGCTGTCTGGCAGCATAACTTTTGGCACCTTTGAGCACCTTCGCAGTTTCGCATTTCACCAATGCAAAAAAAACACACACACACACTCGGGGGCTATAATTTCTTTGGATAATTATTACTCGTCTGGCATATTTTTTTGCTGGCTTTTTAAAGCTGTTTTGACCGGCGCTGACTCTGTGAAATTTTTGCGTTAAAGCCTCGATTTCGTTTGTATTTGTTGCTTTTTGTGCGCTCGTTTGCATAAACACCAAAGCGAATAATTCGGAACGTATTTTACTTAATTTAAATAACTCAGCTTAGGAAATTTCTCCTTTGAGCAACAACAACAAAAAGTGAAAAAAAGTGCAGCGGAAATGTGTACAAAAACAAACAAGAGATATTTATATGACATTTGATCCCTCATTTTCGGCAATATTTCTGTAAACGTGTTTGGTTTCAGTTATAAAATAAATACGAGTTGCCTGGGAAGTCTTAGGAATGTTAATCGGTAATTCGAGAGGCTTTAGGTAACAAAAGCTTTGGCCGATCTGGTAAGTGACAAAGTCTCTGGTTTAGATGACTCAAATCCGTCACAGATCGCAATATTGGAATTTACAAATGACTCAAAGTTCTGGCAAGGGAAAGAAAGCGGCATTTTTGAATGCTTTCGATTTTTTGTGCACTTCCGTATATGCAGATATTTTTAGAAAACATGATTACTTAGGAAGGTTTTTACAATAGGTAAAAGTTACAGGAATTTAGAATTTTTAGGTAATGAAATATGTTGAAGTAATATCGAAAAATCAGTAATGTAATCATTAATAACATTTTTTTTATTGCCCAACGACAATTTACTGTTCTTATTGATAAATAATAATTTTGATTTATTGTTGAGTTTACTCTTTTTATAGCCAAAAAACTCGTATGAAGAAGAAAATTTGTAATAATTCAGTAATAATTTGTAGATTATTAAAAGAGTTTCCTTATATCGGAAACAAAACCAGCCCATTATAACATAAATTCCTCGAAATAGGTTTCCATTATCTTGGCCTTTTTGTTAAAGCTCATTTGGCTTTACTTTTCTAATGACCAAACACATGCGACCGTCCTATTTGTCCCCTTTGCAAGCCTCGCCTGGATGATGTTGTTGGCCAACTCGATTCGAGACGTAACTCATAACCAATTGCCATGAATGAAATTCGCATTTCATTACAGGCCTGCCAACGCCTGACGCAGACGGTGGCCGGTTTTTGTGTTTTCGTGTGTGGTTTTTCACAATCAACGACAATAGCTACGCACGTTCGCTAAAAAAACAAAAAAGAAATTGTCAATAAAGTGCAAAAGGAGACGACTGGGGCTGGGCAAGAAAATACATATATGAAAAAAAAAATGCGAAAAAGAAACAGAAATTGCCACAGAGAAACGTGTTGCAGCGCCACGGGGCATGGTGGCCCATCCCATACCCATACCCCTACCCATTCCAGTTGGAATCGAGTGCAATCGTGATACAAAGTGGCCGCCGCGGACAGGGGGCGTCTGTAAATTCGTATTAACTATCCGCTAGATACCCGTACTTTCACAAAAACTCGTTTGAACAAATGGCACAAATATGAGCATTTTATTTACTGCAGTTTTTTTGTCTTGCTTTTTTCGTTTTATGCAATTTTTTGAGATTTTTTTTTAGCATGGCACATAGTTGCTTTATTAGCAACGTGCCAAGCGCAAACAAACCAAGACAAGAAGCAAAGCCAAACAAAAGGCAAATCAACTGAACAAACAAGAAGTTTGTAATAGGGAAAACTGCATTTTGGCACGACGAAGTGAGGGGGTTACGCAGTAAATTTAAAGAGAAATAAACCCCAACAGTAATTATGCACATAAAGCCAACTTTCCACTTTTCCTCCCAAAAAAAAATGAAAAAAAGCAACTGTTCAGCATTTCCAAGGCACGCACTTGCTTTTGTTTCGTTTCTATTATTTATTTTTGTTTGTGTTGTATGTGTTTGTGTGTTTGTCCAAAGCTCATTGTTTACCAAATATGTGTCTTAAATTGTTTGCTTTCATTGCTGTTTGCATAATAATCGAAATGCTGCAGATTAAACGTCTGTGGTCATGGATTTTCTGTGCCCTTTGTCTGCTATTATTATTATTTTCCAGCAGCCTCATCTTTTTGCTAGCTTTTCTTTCAGTTTTTTCACATGCTGAGTGGGCGATAAGCGAAACGTGATTGATTGAATATAACAAGCTGGGAGAAAAGAGATATGACAGGTCTGAGACTTGCAATGGGTCTGTGTCTGGGTCTCTCTCTTGGGTGGTCTGGCCTTTATCTTTATCAGTTGCCCCCAAAGTTGTAGGTGATTTATCACAGGTTTTTGGGGTCTCATTCGATAAGCAAACAGCTGCCGATATTGGCACTCAGATAATTGCCAACTTGAACTTTGGGAATTCGTGTTTTCTAATCTGGGTTAAAAGAGATTTGATAATGCTAGCAGGTATATAGTGAAGTTGGGTAACTATTTAGATATACTCGTAGAATTTATCTTTTATCTTGGATAATTAATTCTTGTTTTCTTTCTTAAGTTAATGTCTGAACTACTCTATTAGCAACTATATCAGTTTTCTCAAACCAAACACAGCCTACTTTTTTCTTTAATTTCAATTAATAATAATTAATAATTAATAATTGAAATTCTTTTTGGATTTGGGTGTTCTTCCTTTTCTTTCCAAGAATAATACTTCAAATTGAATGCCTTTTGAAAAGCTTTTATTTGTATAAACCAAAATGACGAGTGGCTAAAGATTATTGCCACAATAAAAATAATTATTAACATTATTTACCACCAATTCTTTCATGACGATGACACTTATTTCTTATTTATGTCTACTTCCGAGCGTTAAAAGTTCAATTTCCTCTGACACCCTTCTTTTTTTTCGTCTTTTGTCTTCTCTTTGGCAAAATAAATAAATAACTCGCAAATACCCAGCGATGAACATTTCTTTCGTTTTTTGCCAGTAAATCATCAGCTTGTTGTTAATTTTTCACATCTCTCCCTCCCTCCCTTTCACTCTGTATCACTCTCCTTGGCTATCTTCTTTTTTTTTAGTGGTGCGTCAAGTTGGCACGACAGCCGGCGGGAGAAAGTTTTTCTTTTTCTTTGCCAAACTCGAAAAATAAAACTAAAAAATTAACGCCAAAATATAAAAAATACAAACAAAGGCGAAACAAAAACTGTAAAGTGTGCAATGCAAACATGTGATTATATTATATCCATACACACAAACACCGACTTATATAAGATATATACATATATTGTCTGAGGCATTAAAAACGCATAACAATTAATCGTTGAAAAATGAAAAAGAAAAAAAAGAAAACAATAAACGACAGCAAATGAATCAAAAGTAGATGACACTCCTGGTTATCTGCAACACCCAACATCAGCTTTGAATGGCCAACGAGCGATTTGTTTACCGATGTTTTGGCTAAGAGTTCACTTTTGTGTGTTCAACAAGTGTTCAGTTCAGTTCCACGCATGGCCATCAAAGTAAATTACTTAATTTATGCCACAAATGTGTCGTCGAGCGGGCGGCACTTTCTACCGCCCAAAAAACGCTATTCTTACGTAAGCGACTTTAAACGCATGCAAAACGCGTGCAGCGAAAGCAGGGCAAACATTAATGTACATATACAAGTATATATAAGTTACATCAGATTCCCAGTGACCCCGGGTCACTGGAAATTAACTGATAAAAGCCGGGCAAGCAGCTCCAAGTTGTGGACTTTGCTCCCCGGCAAATCAATACCAAATACCAAATTGTAAATAATTGAGGCAGCCCAAGCCAAGGTCTGACCCTCATTATTGCTTTATCAGTTTGGGGGAAAACCGAAAACCCTACGAGCTGCACTTTTTTGACAGTCTGCAATTTATGCCACTGAAAATGGGGGGGAAAATGGGGGAACACACAAATTCTCAAGTGCCAGAAGAAACCAATTTCCAGTTCCAAAAATTTTCCATTTCTATTTTTAAAGGCCAGGGGAGCAGCGTTTGCCTAGTTTTTCATTCCAGAAAAACACAGAAGAAGGGATTTCAATTAAGCAAGATATTCAAGTAGCTAATAAATAAATAAATCTCTATCTCATGGATATTGATCAACAAGAGAATTCCATTAACCATTAAAGCTGGATGGGATATCTCACTTCTTTTTCCACGGATTCCTCA